GTCTCTTTTCAAAATCAAATCGTTTGCAGCTTAGTTGCCCCATAATATCTAAAATTGAAGTATTTTTCAAGTAGTTAGTGTTTTCTCAACATTTTTCATCTAAGTTTGAATTCTAAGATAGTAAATATTTCCATTATATTTATACTACTCCAATGATTTGAATATTTATATTATTCTAGTAATTGTGTTTACAAACCTCAAGTTCAGTACTTACCTCAGGCATAGTAATAAGAGCATCTCATAGGTCCTATCTTTTGTAAGTTGAGAATATTCCAAGACCTACATAAGCTTTCTTATTCTATATAAATATTAATAACATACAGATCAGGGAAAGATAGTCTGTAAATTCAGGAATGTTTCCTTTTGGAATTGTATTTAACTTTCAAGTGCAAAGTTATCTAGCCTGGTAGCACATGAAATGAAACATATTTTGTATGTGATAGATGGAAAACATAAATCTCTGTGTAGAACTATATATTTCTTTGGAGTGTGACTAAATTATAGTGCAGTTTCTTATATTTCTGCTATGACTTATACTTAGGAAGACAGACTGTTATTTTATCTCTATTGAAACATTTTAGATATAAGCAATAGAATAAAATTCTGTTGAATACTATGATAGCACATAAGCTTCAATTATAAGCCAAGTAACTGCTTCTTTAGAACCAGTTGCTATAATCTTAGATTGATCTACCATAGTTAATACTGACCTGTCCCTCCAAATAATATAGACTAGAGAGAAGTCCTATAAAAAATCAGGGAGATCAAAATGAAACAGAAGTTGTCTTATGCTCCCAGGAATTTTCTGTCTTAAAAATTTCCCAGCAGACATTATTTAATTTGTTGAATTTTCCCAATATCTGTCCTTCAGATTGCAGTCCTTGGAATTTGATTGATATCACCATTATCTCAGATTTATTCAGATGGAGAACTCATTTATGCATCCAGTCTCAGCCAGCATTCAGTCTGGAGAAATAAACTACACAGTGATTTGGACAGAGAAATTTTAAGGTAGATAATTATAAACTGTAGCAGAGCTTTGGAGTAATGACAGATTGGTTAGTAACAAGTAGTAAGAACTTGAAAATAATATGGCAATAGCAGATACAAGGAGCATGCATTGTCTTCAGAGCTGAGATACAGCATCCCATGAAGAGACCCCCAGGGCTGAAACCCAGACTCTGCTGGCACTGCTGTGGCTCAAAGAATTGCAGAAAAGTCACTGGGGTTCTCCCTTGTTGTAAATCGCCGGAGCGTCTTCACGGGGAAGGGTCTCACTGGAGGCACTTGACTACACCACCATCCGAGGGGATGCTGAGGGAAGCTTCTAGCCACTGGGTGTGTTGACCACCATATATTTTAGGAGACATTCTCTGAACAAGCCAATCACACTGCAGGATCATCAGAAGGCTTGTGCTGTGACAGTTGCATATGCTGCAAAGTCAGTCCCTTGGAAGTACAGAGCAGGTTTTTCTTGGTAATTTGTCTGTGTTCATTAGTATTTCCCTATATCCAGAGCATGCTCCACAGAACGCAAAAAGAAAACCCAGAGAACTCACCACCATGCTGCTCCTCAAGCCCCAGTTCCCTAGTCCATCTTCCTCCTTCTCTTTACCTTTCAGTCTTCTTATGCTGGATTGATGTATAATATCTGTTACTCAACCAAACTTGGGTCTTCTTGCCCAACGTGCAGCAAAGCCAATTTTCTGGCACTTGGTTGTGGTGAAAGAAAGTACAGCATTTACTGCAGGGTGCCAAGCGAGGAGAGCAGTCAGCTACTGGTCAAAAGACCCAAACTCTCCAGTGGCTTTCGAGGAAGGGATTTTAAAGGCAAGGTGAGGGAGAGGGCCCTGTGTAATCAGCTCATGTACATCCTTGTGATTGGTTGGTGGTGAGGTAACAGGATGTTATTTCAGGAATCTCAATTTTCAATTTTCTGGTTCCAGCTGGTGTGGGATCTACGTGTTGGTGGGCGGTACACAGTCAGGTTCTTCCCTCTTGCGGGGGTTTCAGTATCTGCAAAACAGCTCCAGGATATGGCTCAGAATTTATAGCTCTTGAGGAACTAAGGGTCCTTGACTGTTTTATGGCTGAACTATTATTATTTTGTCTTGCTTGACTGCTTTCCTGAGACATGGTGCGGGAGATGTCTGTCCCTCGGAAGGCCCCACAAGGTCCTGCTCAGTTTCATATCTAGGGTTTTTACCTGTATTTAGGAGAAGGAATGGGGAGAAAAGTTTCTATTCCATTTCCCTTAGATCAAAAGCCTAGTTTTGCATTTAAAATTATTTTTATTTTCTCTAACCAGTGCTTTTCTGGCTTTTAAATGACTGTATTGAGACATTATCTTCCATTTTGTTAAAAAAAAAAAAAATTCTCTTCTGGCACCTACATTGTTTTCGTTTTGCCTTCTTTTTCTTCTCTCTTCTTCCCTTTCCTTTTCTACTTTTCCCTCCCTCCCTTTGTTCCCTTCCTCTTCTCTCTTTCCACCCTCCCTGTCCTGCCTTCCTTCCTTCCCTTTTCCTGTGACATAGTTATGCAGGAGCTATTATGTTAAGAAGTAATTCAATGAGTTTATTTATGGCTATCTTTTCCAATGAGATCACCTTCATGTTTATACTGGTTTTGAAATATTAAAGTGACAAGTGAAAATATAATTGCGACAACTCAAAATATAATTTGTCTAAATACCTCAAGTTTTGGTAAAAAGCATCAAAAGTTTTCATCATCAGAAATAATTTTATTATTTATTTTAAAGCAATTCAGTGTAACTGGTAGCAAAATGGTACATAGACAATAAACAGAACCAAATCCCATAGGGTTACAAGGACTAATGTTGACTTCATTTTTTATTTTCATATGCAAGTGTAAGTATTTAAAAAGGCAACTGTTTGTTAAAAGGCTTTTATAAGTATGTTTTTATTCTTTAAATAACAGAAAAGCTAATAAACTATCATTATTATAGCAAGCTAATATGAATTGTGTCAAATATTAAATTTGGACTAATGTTCATAATCAAAAATAATTATTGTAAAATTTATGAAACAAATTTTATAGTGTTATAGGAAATATAGTCAGGTCCTAGCTTAAAATCCTAGTCTTGACAACTGTCATAATGCAAAAATACTCAACTTGAGATCTTGTGGGGAAATAGAAGATTCATAAAATCTTACATCTACTCTTAAACATAATTGTAATGGAGTAAAGAAAAGGCAACTCGAAACATCATACTTAAATATCAATGTGCAAATATAAAACAAGTTCATTAAATTTATTATTGTTCATTAAATTTATTATTCTCCATTACATGTATTTGTTCAATTCCACCTTTAGTTTGAAATTTTACACGTGAATATATGTTTGTCTGATATATTTCAGCTGTGTTTATAACATACACACATACATATGCATACAATCTTTGTTTTAAGATATGTTTCCAATTTTAAGTAACCTGTTATAAATTCTACTTCCCTGTATAGTTAAAGAAAATTAAATACAGGCTCTCCCTATTTTAGGGGAAATTCTTGATGTTCTTGTTATTCTAAAATGAGAGTAATGTAAAATACTAAACAAAAAGGCATTTCATATTCTCAAAGCCAAATATACAATGGCTATATAATCTATAATTTCACATTTTATGTTTTATATTTTATATCCATAGAATTATTGGGGAAATATTAGGCTTTCTTTATTTTTATTTATTTTATTTATTTATTTTTTTGCGGTACACGGGCCTCTTACTGTCGTGGCCTCTCCCGTTGTGGAGCACAGGCTCCGGATGCACAGGCTCAGTGGCCATGGCTCACGGGCCCAGCCGCTCCGCGGCATGTGGGATCTTCCCGGGGGGCACGAACCCGTGTCCCCTGCATCGGCAGGTGGACTCTCAACCACTGCACCACCAGGGAAGCCCTCTTTATTATTTTTAATCCTTCTATTTTCCTTTCAATTTATCTGCCTCTTTGTGAAAAGAAATGATAACATGTCTCTTTCTAGTCTTATGTGTCCTATTTTCTGTTGAATTAAAATTTAATGTCAAATTCAGAAATTAAAATACACAAAATTGGAAGAAAAATATCTTTTTAAATTTGTCAACGTCTCTTTCATGGGAATGACAGTGCATTTCAACTACCTGGCAAACTGTGCTCTGTGCTTTTCAACCTGTTTCTGAAAGGGAATAATGCAATGCAGGTAAAAGCACTGGTGTTGCCAAAGGTCAGCGTTTCCTTATTTATAACTGTCAAATTATGTATGGTTTACCTTACATTTAAACAGCAAAACCTACTTATTTTTATTTTATGCTTTTTCCTCACAATGTTAAAACATAGCTCCTATAGATAACTTTCCAAAATTAGATCAAAATTTTTGATATACCAATTTTTTGTGTATTATTATTTCAATACTAAAGGCATAAAGGAGGACTTTTAATGTTTTGAAATTTCTTTGTATTCTATAAAAAGTATAATTTTGTTTCTTTTAATTTTAAACTATCTTTCTAATGAAATATACTGTATAGATATATAAAAATGTTAAATATTTATTGAATATTTCAATTAATGCTTCAATTCTTAGATCAGATTTAAGTCGACAAATGTGTTTTAAGTATTCTCTATGTTAGGATTCTTTTAGGAGAAACAATAAATATTTGCTTTCGTATACTGTTCTTGGCATACAACGTGTGTTAAACATAAGGTTAGGGAAAAGTTCATGTAGTTGATATTTCTTTTTTTGTTGTTTTTGTTTCTTCAGAGTAATAAAACATGCTATGAACAGCTCAAATTCTAAAATGAATATATCATGTGAAAAGTCAACAAAAAGGGTAAAATGACTTAAAGATCCATATTCTAAAGCAAACTATGATTCTTACACAAAAGTCAGCCACACAAGTTTGTCTGTTAATCTGTGTAGAGAAGGCCGGACACTTGTGATGAGCTCATTTTTATAAAATGGCAAGTTTAAAGAATATAATAGGACACATTTAATTTTAAGTGGAGCAACAATCTTCTATGTCCATTGGGACGCACCAAATATAACTGGACTTCTAGTTTACTTTCATAAACCTTAATACTTTTAAAAAATTGGCTTCATACAGTTTGTATTATTGTCAAACAATGAAACATCAGGTTCAAATTTTTGCGTTTCAATTTAGGTTTTCAAAATCATTCCATTGATGTCTTTCAAATATTAATGGGAGGAGTACCAACAAAGCAGTACTTTAAATTTCAAAGTTATCTAAACTTCTAGGAGAATAGATTTTTTTTTAATATGAGAGAATTGGATATACTCCAATCTAGTTTATTTCATGCCAGCAACACTCTTGTTTTTCTAAGATTTAGAGTTGTTTCAAGCAAGATCCTTGTAGGAGAAAAAAGTCTCTTATTTTCTTTTTTATCAAAGCTGAGTTTCCTCCCGAGAATCTTGGCCTGTGGTGTTGCAGATGCTGTTTTTTCGACTGGGTTCACCATTTGGTAGGTAGGCCAGTGGATCGGGTCGGATTAAGTATCTAAGAAAAGAAAACAAGGCAAATAACTGTAATCAAAAAAACTAGTTCACATTGACACTTTAGATTGTTACTTTAAATTTATTTGTTCAGTGTTTAAGGTTATCGAAACTTGTCTCTATATAACGTTGGTGGAAGGACTTGCTGTTTATTTGGCCAGGGCTTGTAATAATTCTACACCTAAGATTATCAAGATGAATGTGGATGAATGAAGAATCATTATCTTTCAGTTAGGATCCATTTCACCACCTCCATCTTTTCAAAAGTTTATGTTTTATTTTAGTATTTTGTTGATTTATTATTCTTTTCTTTGGCTATTTTTCTATCAAGGATGCCTAAATCCTAGCCATGATTATATTACTCAACTGCTCTTAGTGTTATTTTTATCATTCATAAATAAATTTGACCTACATTATTCTATAGGCTTTTTAATTTAAATATTCTATGGTTCTATAAAATTAATGATTTCATAAATGCTCTGGAGGATATTATGCCTAGGTAATATTTTAATTATTGGGAAATTTATTAACCTAAAATTCAGGTTATGCTATAGTAAGAAATTGGACAAAGAAAATAATTCTCAATTCATTCTACTAGTAAATAGGAAAATGTTCACCTGCCAAACTCACACATCTCAATAATGTTAGAATTTGTTTCAAGAGAGATGTTTTACTTCAGACCGTCAAGTGACATGAGCGTCCATTTCTTGAGCGTGTCTGGACTACTGGGCTAGGTCCTGGGAATACAAAAAACCATACACTTCTTTCCCCTTCAGAGGATTAACAGAGCGTAATTTATGAAACAGATAGAAAGGTTAAAAAGAAATTCCAAACATCACAGAAAGACAAAAAGAACAACAGTGAATGAGGGAATAGTTTATTGAGGAGGTTGGATTGATGGCTTTCCAGGCTTAAGTGGAGACAAACGGAGAGGAAATGGGACACAGAAAAGGATGCTCCCAACACGTTTAGAAAATGAGTTTGACTTTAGAGGACCGGTTAGACCAGGAGATGATGGTAGGTAAATTCAGGAAGAAACATAGAAAGCAGCTAATAAAGGACTTTAAGTTTCAGGATAAGTAGTTTCTATTTCTGTTCCAAAGGCTTCTCACTGGAAGCCACTGAGGTTTTGGAAGGGAGAGAAGGAAAGTAAATATATGTAATACAGCATTCTAAAAGTCTTGTTCAGGTGCAAATGCAATTAGTATTTCATAGTTTTATAATAATGTTCGGAGTTACAAAATAAATGGAGAAACTATTTTAAAAGCGGGGACTCTAATGAAGATTTGTACTTCTCCTCTTAAAAACCAAAGGAAAAATATTCATAAAGTATGTCCCTTAAAAGAGCAATTTCAAGCTCTACAGTCTATTTTCTTGGATCAAATGAAAGTTGAGATTAGCGTCCTTGGATCTATTTATTAACTAGATTTTGCTATCCAACCACCTGCTTTATAATTATTTTGAATATCAGTAGCATAGTAGATCAATGAAGAAAACTAATAGTGCACATTAAGCTTTTTAACTCCATATCACCTAGTGATTTATTGTTCTTCAAATCAAATTATTGTTGTACCTTCATTTAAAATGAACTTTTGAAAGTGATTGTTTAGAAAAACATAAAAGGTATGAGTATAATCCATTATCCCCTAAATTCATTGATGTAGCTGCAAATTTTCCTTTCCCTATTGTAATCACTACTAAAAGTATGAGTCTAATAAAATAAATTTCTTAAATGCATTTTTTGTACTGCTTGTCATGGTAGCATATTTTCTTGCTCCAGTTATACTAAAATTTAATTATCTCAATGCAACAAAACAGATCATGGCAAAAAAGAGTTCTTTTTTTTTTTTTATAGCAGTCAAGTTGATGTTTTAGCTTAAAACTAATAAAAAAAATAGCATCCAAAAGGCAGAAAATTCCATGCTTATTTTCCTGTATATATTATAACATTATATATTTTATTTTTACGTTTCAGTTTTTAAAAGTTTCAGGAATTATTTTGAATTATAAAGTCTATCTGATTGAAGGATTTGTATTGACACATAGACTCCAAAGGTTAACACTATCTTCCCATGCCATCAAAAATAATCATGGAAAAGAATTATATTAGGCTCAAGAAACTTACAATTTGTTATGAAATAAAAATAAGGTAATCCCAACTTTAAAAAAAAACATATATAGTTGATAATTTGAAAAAGAGACATATGAAAGTTGGGACTACAAGAGCAGATTTAATAAAAATTGCCTGATTTTATGGGTTAAAGGAAGAAAGACGTGTGTAAATATGGACACAAGAAAAACGGAGAAGTTTTGTTCTATTACAGTCATATACTAAGTGAAGTCTCCAGAATGGGCAGTTGAAAGCCAGGTGCATCACAAATAAGATATTTTCATCTAGCTTAAAGTGTTCCAAAAATTCAGCAACCCCACTGGATATGAAGTTTGACAGCCGCCTTAAGAACTCTAGCAGCTGGGATTACCATTCATCAGATTCCCCCAAGTTCCTATACTCTAACCAGTATCATCAGATGGCAAAATAAAGCATTATTAAACTTGCTAGTTGTATCTTAGCTGACTTACAAAAATCTTTTCACACTGATTTTGGGTCAAAGTTACTCCTGCTGATGTATTTTCCTAATAAGCTTTTGAAGCACATTCATCTTTTTGCCCTAAAACTGAGCAGTACTCAGCAGGCCTATATTCATTCTTCTCCATTTACTTCTTTATGTAATCCTTTTTTTCAAAAAATCATTGTCTTTTCAGTTTTATTCATTTAGGTGAAAAGTAACTAGTTTCTATATAGAACTAGCTTCTTTCCAAAGCTTGGTACTGTATCGCTGTATGCTTTCTAGACATTCCCACTTAGCACACTGAACAATGTACCTAAACTCCAGCTCATCATCTCTCTTTTCTCCATACCCAACGACTGCTCTTTCCTGCTTGAAAAAGTGCCCCCCTATACTGACTTGTTTCAGTGAAGCAGTAATTTCTTTTGCAATCACATAGATTTGAAATCTGAAAGCCATGTGAGAGCCCTTATTTTCCAATTCCCAGACCAATGAACAAGTCTCACTCTTTGTCTCCATAAATTTACCTCCATAGGATCTTGTCTTTACAATCCATCATCCAGATGTTATGACCGATTCTTATCTCCATCCTGCCAATCAATTCTATTGCTTTTTACAGAGCACTTTTTTAAAAAATTGAACCCTCCAACCCCAGCCAAAATCTTCCACGAAAGTGACAGCATCTAATTTCTGGCATATTACTAGCTTTAGTTCTAAATCACTTGCATGGATCCACTTTATACTCTGCATCACAGAATGTTCTCACTCTTCTTAGTCACTGACCTTATTATTTATTTCCAGGTTATAGATACAAACACATCCTGTGGACCTAACACCCACCAAGACTTTTGAATCTTTGGCATTTGTTTTATGTCACCAATACAATCTGGAGTTAACTACCCTGTGTAAGCAGGCCTTGGTGCAGCTCAGCCTTGGGACCATGAACCTCAAGCTAGGAATTTCTCACCTAGGCTTATACCTAAAACTGTCAAAATGCCTTTGCTAAAATCCTGCTACTTTCTTGCTCATATATCCAAGTGCTGCCCATTGCCTATAAGGTTGAATATCAATTCCTTATTTTGTCATCTAATGTCTTTCCAAAGTCAGGTTTAATATGTTGCCAATATTATGTTTAACTAATTAACAACAGAGATGTTAATAATACAAAGCTTTTACTCTGGTCAAACTGGGCTCTGTAGTATTGCCAGCTGGCACGCATTATGCAATGCCCAGGCAGTGCATTTTCTCAAGCCATCTCCCTGTTCTGGAACGTCCCCTCCTTTCTCTCCACCTGCACAAATTCCATCTACCCTGAGTGTCTAGTTCAAGTCCGTCGTCCTTTGTAATCCCTGTAGCTCACAATAATGGCTTCTCTCCTGAATTTTGAAAAGCACCATCTCACTTAATCAATGCTTAAGTCATGTGACAAACTCATATATATACTGCTATTAAAAGTTTATGCTTAAATTGTAGTTTTGTTAATTAGAATGTAAACACTTTGAAATCAGGGAAAATGCCTTATTTGTTTCTATAGAGCACATTTTTAAGGCGACACTAGTACAACTGAACATGCATAATACATAGTTTTTGATGAATCAAATTACTACCATAAATCATTTCCTAATAAGGGTTTTGACCAATTTTACCTTGGCTTTGAGAAACTCTCAGGTATTTCAAACTAGCTAGTGTGGGATATTTTAGGTTTTCCTTTGAGCTTATCTCTTCTTGTTCCACATATTTTCTGTTATTTTTCCAAATGTATATTTGCTCACAAAATACAAAATTTATGCTGCTTTTTCCTTCTTTTATAGCTCTACCATCCTACAATGCTTTTATATAGTATTACACACAGCAATATATAAAAGGCATTTGTTTATTGAACACAAAAATTAGACTTTGATTTCCTAAGCATTTGTATCACAAGAAAGATAAGGGGCTATTATGGTGGAAATAAAAATATAAAAGTAAATAAATGAGTGGTTTTCTGAAAATACATGCCTTATGTGAGATCAACTTACACAACATCATTCAGCTCTAGTCTGGTATCTGGAGATGGGTTTATCAGGATGTAGGAGAGGGTACTTTGATGATCATTCATTTCATCTAGAAGATAAATAAATGCCAAGTGTGTTATACCACTTACAGAAAATTACAGGAATTATTGTAGCGTGTCTTATCTTCAAACCATAGAGCTGTCAACAATAACTTGCTATAGTTTTGTCCACAGCAGGATTGTGTATATAACTTTGGCTATTTTCAAATTACTGCCACTGGAAATATCTGACAGGTGCTCACTTTTTGTTCCAATAGATATTAAAAATAAAGTATCTAATTCTGTTCAGAACAACCACAGTTATAATCTACCTTGTAAGCTATTACACTGAAAAAGTATTTCTGTTAATGAAATAGCTAGACAGGATGTTTACTTAATTTATTATGCTTTAATAATTATTAAAAAAAATTGTGGTTATAAACGGCCATCCCAGACAGGAACATTCATATGGGAATTCTGCGAAAAATCATCTAATGTCATCGTGTTTAAAAAACACAACAGAAATGTACCTAAAAAGCACAAAGGCCCTAAATACTTTTGACTTCCTTACATGATATACCTGATATAAGACATGGTAATGTTCTTGCCAAATGCAAAGAATCCCGTGAAACAGAATTTAATTGTAAGTTTTAAGGGAAGTGTACCATGGGATCCTTTGTTTTTTCTCTAAAGCAATACATATTTTAAAAATAAAAAGCTGTGCCCTTTACGTTTTGTCAATTCACTCTGAAAACATCATCAGACTTCAAGTATGGAGAACTGAACTGGCACTGAAAATGAAAATAGCTTTGGGATTGAGATTTTTTAGCTGCTAAGGCTATGAGAAGGTGTAAATATAAAGCCACGTGGACACATACTCAATGAATATTAATCTTCCCAAGGGTAAAGTTTTTAGGCTGGGCGGGCACTGTTTCAAGTCCTGCTCTAGAGCCATAGTACTCATCTAGCCACTTCAGTTGCAGACAAGCTTGGCTCCTAAAAGTAGTACTAAATTTTGCAGTTTGATCCAAAATCTAAGAATATATTTCATACTAATAGAGATATATCAATATATATCAAGTATATATCAAGATATATACTCAAGTAACTGCCTAAAATTAAAGATCTTTTTTAGGACAACATAGCTGATCCTGATAATTTCCTACACTGGAAAATATATATTATTTTCATAAAATAACATCTACCACTAGGTTTGACTAGAAACCTGTCACTTGACTGTGAAAGACAGTAATTTCGGTTATGATCTTTCAAGCTGATATCCAGATGTGCCTTATTCTTAAGTCTATAAATGAACATCCTTATCTTACAAGGCAGATAAACTGCAGTATAATCGAACCCACCATAAGTTTGCCAGTAAAGCTATTATAATCATAAGATTATCAAATTAATACTCAAATAAAGGAATATATTCGGTTTCATATCCCAGGGGCAGACACAAGGAACTGTATCCTGTCATGGGGATAAGGTTGCCAGGCAAAATAGAGAATGCCCTGTGAAATCTGAATTTCAAATTAAAAATTAACAATTTTTTAGCTATATATATATATATATATATACCAACTATTATAGGTAACATGCTTATACTAAAAATCATTTGTTGTTTATCTGAAATTTAAATTTAACTGGGAATCCTGTATTTTTACTCGCTAAATCTGCCAATCATACCTGGGGGAGGGGGTGGATGGCTAATTCAATCAGCTGGAGCTTGGAATTCCAAAGAATATATAACGATGAGCTTACTCCAAATAAGGTGCAATTTCAACTCAAAGCATATTGTACTGGCAGAAGATTACCAGAATCATCTTTCTACATAAAAAGCAATTTTGACGTATGTATTCTTTCTGAGAAATTTCCCCCTTGTGTGAATTTCCACAATAGCTAAACAAAAGAACAGAGGTTAACAGTGCATTCTGCAGACTAAAGCAGGGTGCCCTGAAAATCTCCACCTATTTGGCTATGTATAACTCAATTTCTCATGTAAACAATGGCACTGTTGAAGTCTCTTATGTAAAGCAGTGAACATTACTGAACAGTGGCACTAGAGGGAAAACAATTTTAACAAATACCTTCTCAGTTAATATTGATACTCAACCCTTCTCCTTGATTATTAACATGTTGTTGTACTCATTTTTGGTTCTGGGATGAGGTCAAAATCTTACTGGTGACTTGGTATGCCTGTTACAAATGTAAAAACTGTCTAGATAACTGAGAACTTTACAGAACTAGATATAACTATCATGTCTGTTCAAGTAGATAGTTGGGTTTTATCTTTCTGAAGATTTTTGTTTTTCCATGGATTCCAGGAATTGGAGCAAACATTTTGCTGATGTGTTCAATTCAATGATCCCATAAGGTTTATATGGAAACATGGGTAACATCGCAGTCAGAATTCATCACTCCTGGTCTTTCCTCACCCACCCCTCACTGACCGTCTCAGTGTTAACAGAATTAAAATAAATTGCTGAGCTCAAAGCTGTTCTCTCTTTCCTTCTGATGCCTGCCTTGCTGTAGGGTTCACCTTGTCTGCTTGTTCTCTGCCGTGCTGCTCTGTCTGGAAGTCCTACAGTTCATTCTCTTTCACTTTGTGACTTTAAGAATTAGACAGTGAGTTTGTAAAAGCCCATTGTAGTCATCTATCAAAATGACATTCAACAATCTAGTGGTATCAGCCCTAAGTCTGGTATTTTTGTCTCTACCAGTTATTCCCTACATATTTTTTAGTTATTTCTGAATTCTGGAGGGGGAAATATGGTAGGTTTCCTGTATTTTTAAGACCCTATCATAGTAATCACAATTGGTGGTGGCAAAGACATGAATGGATTAAATCTCTTGGGACTTCCCTGGCGGTCCAGTGGTTAAGACTCCACGCTTCCAAAGCAGGGGGCACGGGTTCGATCCCTGGTCGGGGAACTAAGATCCCCCATGCTGTTCAGACAGCCAAAAAAAAAAAAAAAAAAAAAAAACGCAACATTTATTGATAGACACGAGAAAGGAAAAAAAAAAAAAAAAAAAATTGCAGATTGACTCTCCATATCTGTGGGTTCCGTATCTGCAGATTCAACCAACTGAAGATCAAAAGGCTCTTTACCACAAGTATAATAACATATTTAGCGAAGAAAATAAATTTACTTAGGAAAATTTGGCTCATGAAACAGAATCGAGATTTTATCTCCTACCCAGCAAAAATATCTACTAAGGAAATCTATTGTGAGGATATTCAATGTGTTCTTAATAAGCAAACTCTGACCTTGGTAAAATTAAAAGCACTATATCATTTAAAGTGTCTTCTAGAAATTATTGTTCATCATTGACATACTTATCTTTTTTTTTTTTTTTTTTTTTTTTTTTTT